ATCACGTCGTGGCCCCCCCCGTGTGGGTTCGTTCCGACTGCGGTCCCTTTTCCCCCTTTCATTCGCGATACACCGCCCTCCAGTCGCGTGCGTAGGTAGACGAAAACAGCAACCATCACCATTAGGGTGAGGGGAATCACCCACGCGCGCAGCTCCATCTGGGTCATCCACCACATCAAGCCAAACTCCCTAATATCCACCGTTCGGCTGTCACAGTGTCTTTTAACGTTAGTAGGAGAAGTAACAGAAAAGGCAATTACAAGAAAGGAGCCACGTGCTGCGATATTGGATATATGTGAAAATATTATGACTGAATCCTTACACACACACAATCCAAAGATGTAACAGTAGGATGAAATAGAAAGAAAATGGGCCTATCAGAGAGAACAATACAAACAACAGGAAATAGAACAACGTCACAATTACGAGATCAATGGCAATGAATTCTGCTTTCTTTCCCTTATCTCATTCAACTACGGTGTATCGTTTTATAGGCACATTTGAGTTTCATACCAATGGAAATATGCAGTAAACGCGTGGTGGACATCTTTTTTTTACTGAACAGTTCACCATTGAGGGTTTGGTAATCCGTGATGGGCCGATATTCCTAAATATTTATACGCGCATTACAAAACGTGCACAGTTGAGATGAACCGCAATCGAATATCATTATGAATAAAAGGAAGGAAAAGTTGTCTGTTTCAGGGCTCAGAAATGCTTTAAGCACCCTTCAATAAAAGGAGAAATTGTCTTACTGACTTTCATTATCAAAAAAGGAATAATTTAGCAAGTGTGTTTAGTAGACGATAATCAACCTTTCTCGAATCATTGTGCAGGTTCTGAAAGTCTCGCCTATTTTAAATCAATGAACCTGCATTTTTCTTTCTTTATTCTGAAAATAATGCATATCCACACGGTCTACCTGAACGATAAAACTAAGCACCTTTTCCAGAAAGCAGGACATTTAAGAGAAAAAAAGAAACCATTAGCCGGACTGGGAAAGCTCGCATATCTTCTTATATATCCCCTTTTTTTCTACGGTGGATAATTTGTTGGGATTTACCTGTCTGAACGGAGCTTCTTCTTACGCCTAGCATCCGAGCTGCTGCTATCGGAAATGAATTCCTCCTCCAAAGAGGAAGTATCACTCGTAAAATACTCTTCCTCGTCATCCTCAGAGGAGTGATTTCCACTTCTTATTGAAGAGGATGACGATTGAATCGTT